GCCTGCCGCCCTGATCGATTGGCCAGCCGAGAAAAGAGTACCTCGAACCATTGTTACCAGTATGGCAGTAGGGGTGGCGTTGGTGGGTGGCGCTAAGGGTGGAAGAAAAGAAGATGTTCAAAAGTATCTGTTTTTAATAGGTCAAACAGTGGTCCTATCATGAAAAGCAAGCACTGGTGTGGTAATTGGATAGTAAGACTGACGCATGGCATTATCAGACAGGATAGCAATTGAGAGGCGTGAAGTTTTGACCACTGCTTGCCGATCGGACAAGCGATCCTTGATTCCACAGACTGGGCCTTTGAACCCCCCATCCACCATCTCCCCCTAAATTCCCCTGTCCAAGACGGAATTTTTTTCCGGCTCCCTGGTGATTCCTCTTACACAGGTTCAACTGTATAAATATAATATACACTTTGAGAAGTGGCAGTCCTTTTGGACGGTGAGTGTTCTTAAAAAGAACACAAGGGGGAAGCGGTTGTTTGACAGACATGGTTGTCTTGGACATACGATTGTTAGAGCAGCTTAAACTGTAATAGTAGAAGAGGATTCGATACATTTTCTCACTTTCAGTCTGCACGCAGATGCCCTTGTGTGTCTATGGGGAGTAAAATATCTAAATTTACAAATGCAAATCACCATATATATATATGGCTTATAATATGAGCTTACATATATAAAGTATGAAGTAGGAGGGAGTCAAAAAGTAGTTTTTGCATTTGTCACTCTCTTTTCATAAATATAACAATAATCTTCAGCACTTCTTGATTTTGTGGGCAAGTGCCGTTCTTACTCAAACTTAAAAAGGCAAGGCTACCCAACAATCTGGGCGGCTTTTTAGTGAAGGGTAAATAAATGCTAATCCTGAATTCAAGATAGAGGCAAGCCCGTTAGGGCGGTTAGGGCAGGATTAAGATTCGAGGTAAATTTTTACCTTCACTCATGCACTTTATTTTTATAAGGTCAGGGGGGCTTGCCTGAAACACATGCGATTAAACGTAGAAAGACGCAAACTATTTTTAGGTACGGCGCCCATCTTGTTTGACGTCAGACCATGCTGTTGGCTATACTTAGTGTAGTCACGTGATCGGAGGGGTATCCTGGTCTGATATCAAACAGGATGGGCGCCGTACCTAAAAACAGTTTGCGTCTTTCTACGTTTAATCGCATCATGTGCCTGAAACCCCCCCTACTCTTGATTCTAGAGGGACCAAAACCGCGAAACAATTGCGGGGTGGGAACTTACCAAGAAAGCGGGAGGACTTCCGTAATGAGCGACCACTATGAGACAGCGCAGAATTGAGGGCTAGGGGTAGGTGTAGATCTAGGGGTAGGGGTAGTGCGGGTAGGGTTAGGGTTTGGGTTAGGGATAGAAAAGCTCCCCAGTAGTAATGCAAGCTGCTCAATCTGGCTAGCAAACAGAACCTAACATGCCAATGGGTATTAGATCTAGATAAAAATAGATCTACTCTAACCCTCATTACTAATTTAATACCATTTTAAATTTCAATAGGTCTAAGTGTAAAGTATAGATTACCCAAATCCAGCAAACGTGAATAAAACGTTCTGGCTCGTAGGCTACCAGTTCCACGGTCCACAGTGACGCCCTCCCTCTGAGTCACATCAATTTCAGTATCATGACATCAACCCTAGGAATGATCAGTTAAATAGCCAAAAGATAATATATGACAAAGTCGCCGTAAATACCTTTCAGTTTTTGTTTAAATCGGAGATACAACGATAGTGAAAGTAAGCAAGTGTTGTCAAAAGCGTCGCACAGCATGCATAACCAACCAACCGGATGTAGATTTATACAACACAGCTTTTCTTCTCCCAGATTACATTTGGGATGCTTGACAAATCGGGTTAATACAATAATAAAAGTTATAATGATTGTGTACCAAGTACGAAACAGCTGTCTTTTCACATACAATATTACAAAAATATGAATAACCATGCCTATATGATGATATGAGTCAACAAATACAAAGTAATAGCCCATCTGTGTCTTTATCTAAATTTTTCACAAACACTAAATCTGGGCGATAGATTTGAATTGGGTCGTTTTCCTTCGTAATAGTTTTATTCGGTGTTTCCTTCAGCCGTCTTCTTTTTCGGTTACTTCATGCTCATAATATTTATTCTCCTGACCTTTCGTCCCCCCTGCTTTTTTTCAATTTGGTTCCCGTCTCAGTCTCAGGGCTCGGTTATAAACTTTGTGGAGTTACATTTCCCGGGGTGTAACGACAATGCAACTAGATCAAGGCACAAATAATAATAATTATCTCCCTCCAGCACACACGCAATCACACACACACACACATACACATTCTCTCTTCTCTCTCTCTCTCT